GGGGGGGGGAGGAGCAGCTAGCGAAAGAGTTAACTTTACTCTGATATCATGCTGAAAGAAAGCTTTTATTATGCTAATAATTGAAAACTAGTGTCAACGTATAGGCTAAAAATAAGAAAGTAAAGGAAGACAACAAAAAGATAATATCCTTAATTATGTTAATATATTATAGTAACCAAACATCATTCAAATTGATACTTTCATACAATTATAGCAAACACATAAGCACTTGGTAAACATTCACGGTAATACAGCAATCAAATTTTCTCAAATGAATATTTCAACAAAAGAATCACATGAACAATTAAGCTTATCCTTGAAGAAAATAAATACAAAACCGAAAACAAACCTGTATCAGAACAAATGGTCTATGTGAAAGGCATGCCTGCAGAAATGGATAAAGTTTACGTCAGCTGGAATAGTATACTGAAAGCACAAAATATTTAGCGTTCTAGGGTGATATCAGTAAATAATTTTTTTGAGAAATTCTTGAACTGCCACACTTCAGAAAACATACATTAATGGCATCTAACTGTGAACTGTTGAGGCAATCTCTAAGGTGGTCCATAAGCGGTTTAGGAACATTCCAGGTCTGACCTTCAGATGTAGTACAATATGACTTGGGCGAAGCGGACAAAATCAAATCCTTAAAAGGAAGATGTGCAATAGAATGCATGGCTATGTATTCTCGTATGATAGTTGATAAACTGCAAATCTAAAATACAAAATCAATCAGACGGAATTGTCATTCTCCAGATAAAACCAAAGCTAACAAAATGAATAGAATATAAACTTTCAGTTTTCGATTCTTTACATGCATATGTGCTTATTGTAGTTACCTTCAGAATCCACACAAAACTTTCTTTTGTCTTAAAAATCGAAAGCATCTTTGAAAGCCGTGGACTAGATTCAACTTCCATCTTATCTAATTGCTTTACCTCCCCACAGAGATATGTTAGAACCCTAAGAGTTTCTTTACCACCTCGATGATCTACTAAGGCAAAAGCATAAGCATTTGGCGCCTCTCCCTCTTGGAACTAGTGAAAAGCAAGCGGACCAACAATAAGAACAAAAATAATTCATGAAACCATGGACCCGATAACAAAAATTTTCCACCAGGCACTACCAGCTTAACAATCAAATATGTTAAAAAGACAACATAAAAAATATACGTTTTTGTCTCTACTTAGAAAACTAGATGCAATTTGTGTCTCAATCAAATGTAAACGAAAAAAAAAAACCAACCTTTTCCTTTGAAAGGAGCAAAAGATCATTCTCAGACACGTTTTCTCGAAAATCATCTAAAACGGCCAGGGACAATTTATGAAATTCATCAACTTCCTGAAATGAAGCAACAGCACCTCTCTGCCAATCGCTAGCTGCCAAGAGAGTCAAATCCTAATCATCAAGTGAAAAAAAAAACGAAAAAAAGATGAAAGGAGAACAATCTACTCTGCAGGCCCTAAAACTAAGAAGAAAGCAGCAGCACACCTTCTTCATCATCCTTCCCTTGTACGATTTGGGACTTCAACTCCTCTAAAATTAGAGGCTCAAAGACACCAATGTAGTCTTCCACACTGTCAAAAGTGTTCTTCACGTGCTTCAACCCCTCTCTACCATTATTCTTCTGCAGTGAAACAGAATAAATAGAACTATACCGGAAAGAATGTAATGAAAGAAGTACAAGTTACCCCGGATTCTCTGAGAAGCCGTATATAGTCCCAGCCAAGAACGATCCTCTGGAAGCGGGAAAGCTTAGTAATAGAAAAGGAATTGGCCGGCGCAGACCTTTCAATCGCCATCCCGTCTCCTTACTTCCTTGATTGGTAGATAGACGAGCTTGCGCATGAAACAGCAGAAATGTTTGGGGGAGCGGCTGGAAAGCTTCGCGCCACTCCGCTGATTTCCGCTCTTTGAATAAAATGTTTCAGAATAAAGTGATTGCGCGATCAGAATAGAAACAAAGTAGTAATCTCTAGGCGATCTTGCCAGGCGGTGAGTTTGGACAAAATAAAGCCGCGGATTTCATAAATCCGAATGTCACGGATTTCGGCAGGAAGAAAAATGTCGGCGTTTCGGTGGTAACTGTGCGTTCGGTGATGGTTTGGGTAAGAGCGATTTAGGTAGTTTTGATGGTATGTTTTACACTGACCATTAATCAAAGTATTAAATTCAGATTCATCCGCACTTACTTTATTTAGACGAAATAACTTCTCTAGAAGAAAAGGGAAGTGATAGCCACATTTACATACATACAACCTAATTTATAAGTTTTTACATATCTAAATTCAGACAAATTTTTCCCTGAGGACACCGGACGGTTCTCTAAGGGTCTGTTTGGTTTGACTTTTTTGGCCCGTCGCTGTGTGCGACAGCGACTTCGTCCCGCAGTCGACCGTTTGGTTCGAAGCTGCGGCAAAACTGTCGCAAAGCTGCGAGAAAGCGGGCTGCGATATTAACCCTGCGGCCCCGCTTTCGCCTGAACATTTGCCCTGCTTACCCCTTTCGTTTCTCTTCTGCCCTAACTACTAGGTATAACGAGCAGTTTTCTTCTTCTAATCGCAGATATGAGGGAGCTTATGAGTTTTTTCGAATGTGATGTTTTCTCTTCTCATCTCCTTCCTATTTCTGTGATTTTTTGTTTAGCTCATGGAACCTCTTTAGTTCTTTTCCGGTTATTTGACTAGGGTTTTGCCTTTGCTTTCCCTTCTCGTTTGAGCCATTCTTGTTTGGTGGATGATGGCTCAAGAATGGAAGAAGGTTGTGGTTGTGGTGGTTGATTCATGTGTAGTGGTTGTTGTTCATGCTTTTTATTTCCCTTCTCGGTGGATCTGTACATTAGTTAGTGGTTGATTCATCACTGATGCTTTGCTCTGAGACACATTTTTTTGCAATTGGGTCCAGGTTAACATGGATAGTGCATGTTGCAATGATTTTTTCTCTTTAGTTGATCTTCGACAGCTCATTATGACCGAAATTTATTAGAGTGAAGTTCATAGATCACACCTTATTAATATTTTGCACATCAGCTGCATATGAGCTGTCGAATTGATGTTGAGTTGGCTTTAATGTCATGATACCTTATTTTTATCCTTCAATTGATGTTGAGTTGGCTTAGGAGGGGGAATGATTATTCCCTTATTCTCTTGCTTGTGATTAGGAAGTGGTGTTTTTGATTCCATCTATTATTTTTCTCTTCCCCAATCTTAGTTTGACAGTGAGGAGAATTACATTTTAGAAATCCCCTCTTTTGGTTTGGTGTCTGGATCTGCTTTCAAAATTTTGGAGAGTGCATCTGAAGCTGCTCTTTCTAATGTGGTATTTTTTCCAGCATTCTAGTTCTTACTTTTTTGCGAGCTTGTTGGTTAGTAAATCTGTTGAAGCACACAGGAAATTGTGTAATAATAAATTGCTATTGAAAATATCACTGATTACTTTGTATTTTAACTCAAAAGTTGATATGAACCTCCCTATAGAAATGAACAAGAAGTTGGGAAAAACAAGTTAACTAGGCTGTTCTAGCCTTCCCAAGCTCCAAGAAGAAGAGGGGAAAAATCAGTGATAGAAAGCAGTAATATTCCAGCTATTAGATGCTTGTTTCCAATATCATAATAAACACACTTGTTTCCAATAATGTTTAAAGCTCATCTATTAGAGGTTATGAGTAGACATCAATTTTTTTCTTGGGGATGGCATATATTGTTAGTATGGAAGTATTATAAAAGAAAAAAGCTATATCAAAATGTTTGCAAAGTTATGTCAAAAGATTTGCTCAATATAAAGCACACTGCGTGCAACACTCTAATTGGAATGAAGAAAATAAAGTGTTTGAAAAGCAGACTACAAGTAGGTGGCATAAGGCCACTCATATTGATGATTTGGGTTGTAAATAATTTGAATTGAGCCTAGCATTTACTGTTCAGTATTGTACTTCAATCTGTTTTCAAGCTTGAGTTGAGCTTAAGCATGACATGTGTTTTACTTTATAGTGTGCTCATTAGTAACACTACATTTTGATTAAAGCATTATCTGGGTATATTGCAAATTTGTAATGTTCAACATCAGTGTTGTTGAGAACTCTGGATGGGTGTGCAACTTTTCTGTAGAAGCCTTTGTGTGACATTCATAGAAATTTTATGCTTCATTAATAAATATTTGATCATCTTCAAGAACTCTCTCAACAAAGTGGGCTTTGCTTGCAATATTGGAAACCTTGCGATACAAATCTAACTTGCCTTTATCAGGTGTTAGATATATTGTGAACTGTTGCAATATTGGAAACCATGCGATGCAACTTGCACAAATCTCTGTACACTGTTATTTTCTCTACTACCTTTAATTTTGTATTTCTTGCTTGCAATGCATGCCTTCCACCGCAAGAAATACTCCTATGCTCCAGATTTCTGTTCTTTTTTGGATGTAGATTGTTATTGTAGTTGGATGTGAGAAGATTGTGGCTGCACTAAGGAAGA